ATCACTGTATCACATTTAACATGTATGTACATCCCTGTAACTTATCACTGTATCACATTTAACATGTATATACATTCCTGTAACTTATCACTGTATCACATTTAACATGTATGTACATTCCTGTAACTTATCACTGTATCACATTTAACATGTATGTACATCCTGTAACTTATCACTGTATCACATTTAACATGTATGTACATCCTGTAACTTATCACTGTATCACATTTACATGTATGTACATCCTGTAACTTATCACTGTATCACATTTACATGTATGTACATCCTGTAACTTATCACTGTATCACATTTACATGTATGTACATCCTGTAACTTATCACTGTATCACATTTACATGTATGTACATCCTGTAACTTATCACTGTATCACATTTACATGTATGTACATCCTGTAACTTATCACTGTATCACATTTACATGTATGTACATCCCTGTAACTTATCACTGTATCACATTTAACATGTATGTACATCCTGTAACTTATCACTGTATCACATTTACATGTATGTACATCCCTGTAACTTATCACTGTATCACATTTAACATGTATGTACATCCTGTAACTTATCACTGTATCACATTTAACATGTATGTACATCCCTGTAACTTATCACTGTATCACATTTAACATGTATGTACATCCTGTAACTTATCACTGTATCACATTTAACATGTATGTACATCCTGTAACTTATCACTGTATCACATTTAACATGTATGTACATCCCTGTAACTTATCACTGTATCACATTTACATGTATGTACATCCTGTAACTTATCACTGTATCACATTTACATGTATGTACATCCCTGTAACTTATCACTGTATCACATTTAACATGTATGTACATCCTGTAACTTATCACTGTATCACATTTAACATGTATGTACATCCCTGTAACTTATCACTGTATCACATTTAACATGTATGTACATTCCTGTAACTTATCACTGTATCACATTTAACATGTATGTAAATCCCTGTAACTTATCACTGTATCACATTTAACATGTATGTACATTCCTGTAACTTAACACTGTATCACATTTAACATGTATGTACATCCCTCTAACTTATCACTGTATCACATTTAACATGTATGTACATTCCTGTAACTTAACACTGTATCACATTTAACATGTATGTACATTCCTGTAACTTATCACTGTATCACATTTAACATGTATGTACTTCCCTCTAACTTATCACTATATCACATTTAACATGTATGTAAATCCCTGTAACTTATCACTGTATCACATTTAACATGTATGTACATCCCTGTAACTTATCACTGTATCACATTTAACATGTATGTACATCCCTGTAACTTATCACTGTATCACATTTTACATGTATGTACATCCCTGTAACTTATCACATATACATCCTCATTATCTGTACTTCCTTTAATATGAAAGAACATCCAAATCACCTGCACCACCTTATATGTACATCTCCATCACCTGCACTACCTTATATGTACATCTTCATCACCTGTATACCTTATATGTACACACCTATTACTCATTCTTCATATCTGTACTAGGTACCTTATATGTGACCTCATCATCAGTATGACCTTTTGAGTTTCATTTCTAAACAGTACTGATCTATACATAATATCATTATTTGATTTCAAAATAACTTACCCAGTTTTGTCGGGGTTTTGACATTTGACAACACAAAGGTGGGCCTCCCGAAACATTCCTAGATGTCACAACACAGCAAGGCACAGGTGTATAAAGTCATCCACCCATACATATATACTTATATCTCTTCAACACTGATCCCATCAAACACTGTCTTCAAATTAAGGCCTCCATGTAACAATATTCTCTTCCTCATCCTGATACATGTCACATGGTAGTGTGTATCTCAAGCTTGATCCCAATATTATACATGTGTGTATATTGATTGAAGGCTCTCTACTCATGTGTACAACAGGTAACACTGCACTAGGACTGTGTACATATAGGTATGATTTACACTGGAGTGTCCCGTAATGACAACACAACTCGGCATTTATCTGTGTGTTAGTGGGAGGAACCGTGACATCTCCCCTTCGTGGCTAATGAATAAATGTATTCTGGCTGAAAATCAGCGTATTTATTTTATTCCGTCAGAACGAGGTTTGAACCTTCCCATACTAAAACACACCTGATCTCAGCGACAATGTTGGCTTCAGGCATGGTCTGGTAATCACTTAAAATTCACTGATGATGCAACTAATCACATATCATTTCTTTTTCACAACATTTTTTCATGCCTGATCTCCTTGCTGAAATGTCTGTAATCCTTTACATTGAATCCTATACTACAATATTATTCCACATTCATGATCACACACATTTGATGCTATATTTCCAGTCTTTACCTTTACACTGAAGGCCATAGTGGTCACATACCTATACACAGAATTTACCAAGCATGTCAGGTATTTTTTTCCTCGTTTTTCAATATACAGACAAAGAAGAAAGGGTGTTAGGAGAATTACCACATTTGAAGTAACACATCAAGTACATATTTAAAGCCTGGTTTTCCCCTCAAGCAGAAAACTGATCATTCTTGAGCAAATGATGCATCATCTGTCTACATTAAAATGTTTCGGGTGAGGATCATCAAGCCATGTTACCACAACATCAATGCCCCTTTTCCCTTAATAACACTGTACCTCCCCCAACCCCGACCTTTTCACCCCTTATAGTATCCCCCTGACCTTATAAAGGCTTATATTATCCCCCTACCTTCCCCTTTTGACCTTTTGACCTATTGACCCCTTGTATAGGGCTATCCTATAATAGGGATTAGTACCTTGAATACTATAAATGACATAAACCTCAAGTATGTGTTTAGCTATCTAAATCTGATGTGGAGCTATCTTTTAAATAACTTTGGAATTGTAAACATGATTGATAAAATATTTGTTCTCTCGATGCACTTAAACAGTGCATGTATCCTTCCTAATCACTGACATATCAACAGCTTACCTATTTACACAAAGGACTTGAAATACATATGTAAAACTTAGGCAGTACTAAAAGATTGAGATCTGACAACTTATATATTTGTTCACTTGATAAAAGTGTTGATTAGCACATTTACAGTCTTCATCAGTACAGTATTTATCCTGCTATAAGTTCTTTATTTTAGCATACATATTCCTACTGAAAGCAAGGGGCCAGGGCATGAGGGCTTGTGGGTCTGGGGGCATAAGGGCATCAGAGGTCAGGGAGGGGGAGGCTTATTGCAGAACACTGAAATAATATCAGTTTTATAAATCTGCTAAACAGCAACAGATATAGTTCTTAACTGACATAATAAAACTATATGATAATCATGTTTGTATATGGATATTTTCGTAAACCTTTGGCTACCAAGAAATTGTAAAACTTCTTGAGGTCTCAACTACTGACAAGGCAGAAAACAAGAAATAGCAAGCTTACGTACATATACTGCATGAGATCTGGAACAAATATTGACCCAGAAAACATCAATGTATATGTTATTCTGATATTTGCCTATTTCATGATATTTTATCAAATTCCATGCAGAAATGTATTACTAAAGTAATAATAGACTTTCTATAAAAAGACTGTGACCTTGACCTTGCAATTACTACATCCTGAATACCAAACCTTCAAATGTAAGTTATTCTCATGCTTGACGGTGGTCTGAAATCTTATAAGTGAGTAAAATAATTTCCATATAAACATCAGAATGAACTTTATACAATTCTATGTTACTGATATGTATTAACTTTGGGAGCTGTAATGTTGTTTTGCAAATCCATCACCTTGGCTTTAACATTTTAACAAAAAAGTAAAAATAAATGTTTTAATAGCATCATGCCAATGAAATAATGTTCCCATTTTCCCTTCCAAAGATGACGTCATCTAATAATACAGAAGAGCTGTGTATCTCAAATTTCTACTTTCCAACGTAAAGAGAGATATAATAAACACACAGCTGATCCATTATGATTCATACTTCATACAAATATCTTCAGTGAACTCTGTGAATCTTCCCACGCCAAGATGTGGTGACAATTTTGTTGAACTTATTCTTACCATACATCAACATAAATATGCCAGCAAAACCAGGGTAAAATAAAACCTTCAGGTGGGGAGTTAATATTGTCACATCTGTCAGCCGCCCACATCTTAACCTGGTTCCAAGGTTCACACTGAAAGTCCCCTTAACTACCACATGCTCTCCCATTTGTATAGACATTATAATAACAAAGGCTTCCCTCTATCTGATATCATACATTATAAAATTTATTAGATCATTTCTTATTGAGCATGTGCACTATAAAATACATATGCAATATGATATTGCAATTATTTCTTATTCAAATGAAAGTGATAAATGAATAGTCCATTAATTCAGGAGTCCTATGAAACATGCATCCTGTTTGCATCAATCTTTTGGTAAAACTACAAAAAACTGCACCATCAAAGAGAGAACCTTACATAGTATATATTCAATTCATATATAAATGGCACAAAATTACAAATCAAGAGAAGACAAATTGAAAGTGCTGACCCAGCATTTCAGTGTATATAGGTATAAGAGCTAGCTACCCATTGTCAGTTTAAGATAAAATACAAATTTTATTTCATTAATTTTTTATTTCATCACTAATATGTCACAAAAGCACTGGTGAAAATGACCAAGAACTCATATGGGGACAGTTTCCAAGAAATTGAATGTAATTAATATTGTGCCATATTAGAATGTGTGACCATGACCCTGAACTGATTTCAAAGTTGTCACAAAGAAGATGTTTCAGTATTTTTTAAACAACAGAACAGGAACATTACAAACAAAAACAGCATTTGTACATAGATATACTAAACATGAAGGTGAGTGATCAGCGTGGATGATGAAATAAACAGTAATGTGAAACAAACAGTGAGGACAAACAATAGTAATTCTGTGTTTCAATTCAAGAGTATGTAAACCCATTGACATACCTCCTTTGTCTGCCTGGAGATCTGAGACTAGAATCATCCAATTCATCTGGCCCCTCTCCCTCCACGCCATCATCCTGTATATATAAGTTAACAAATACTGTAAATCAACATCTATTTACATTAAATAAAGTTATCAGAACATTTTCTTGGGCATATTATAACTGGCAATACATATAAAGTATCAATAAGTGCTTTGTATAGATTGTTTTAGGCAAAATCCTTCACCTAATTTTCAAAGCCTTTATATGATACATGTAAAATATACAATATTTTTTGTTAAAATGACCATAAAAAAAACCACATCCATCACTAAAAGGTAAACCAAAGGTGAAAATTCTACTGTGCAGTTTGAATTTGACAATTACCAAATCGGATATCGTTGGATATAAATATATTGACAAGCCATAAAGCTAGAAAATTATAAACCCAAGTCTCTATATATGGTTTCATGACTGTATTCAAAATACAGTTGTTACATGTATGATACACGAATTGTAAAAGACTGAAAAACACAGGCAACTATATATCAGATTAGGTAGAGAAATCATGACCTATTTTCTCTCTACCTCTCTTTGCTTTTAATATATAAACTATGTGACCTAAGAAATAAACAAATTTACATGCTGTGATTTTCTTTTTCAGAAATAAAGTAAAGCTTTTAAATGAACCTAAAGAGGAGCCTCATGAAACAGACCAGACCTAAACCATGTGCTCTTTTTACCACTTCACTTCAAAAAAATAATCTTCCTGAAATAGACCAATGTGCTAACTTGTATCATGTACAATATTTCAGTTCTTAAAGTACATGCACAAAAGTAAGTACATAAGTATTATATATAGATCTTTACTTAGCGAAAGCGTCCTGTTGTCACATGCTTTCCCTTCCTCCTATCTATATAAACCATGTCTTCCTTTAGGAAGATCAATCACATCTGACCTTCGTTATCACTTCCGACCATATGGATGATGCTCAAGTACTTCTTGACTTTTATTTCTCTGCAGAAAATCATCAGTTTGAACTGACAAAGTTCAGTGTATCTGTACCAGTAATTAGTCAGTTCATTGTTAATGATGCTAATCGTATGTACAAAAACATGACAGATCTCTCCTAATTACATGATGTACATTGAATCATGGTAATATCAGAACAAGAAGCAAAACCTGAATCCAACCACAACATAACATAAATCTGACAAAGAGCTTAATCAAGTCATAGACTTGATTTAATTAAATTAAACAGTAGTGATGCGAATCAATTCCACTTTCGTAATCAATAAATCGATCAATTATCAATTACATAGAATCATTTTTATAATAGTTTAGGCTAATTTTGTACTGAAAATATAATTCGTTTTTAGTAAGTATCTGTTAGACAACAAAGCTTTGAGTTTGTTTCTATACCAGTGTATATTCTGACTACCATTAATAAAAGCCTTTCAATTGTAATTGTAAATCACCTCTAAATGAAAAACATTGCATAAGGATTTACATGTACATTGTACATTTGATCCCTGCATTTCTGACATTCCTGAACTTAATAATTGATTCCAGGTCCAATTTTGGCATTAATTGTTTTTATTTTCTTCATTAAGTTCTAGTTATTTTTGATAATCAGTCAATTAATATTTAAGTTTAGTCTTATTTCGTATCAGACTGATATATGCATGTTTAGTGATATATTGAAATCTTCTCGTCAACTCATCATGTAATATGATGTTAAATGCTACTTCCTTCAACAATCAGAAACAGGACCAGATATAGAGCAAGCTAATCCCTATATAAGTTAAAATAAATTACCATATAAATGGTTAATTACTTACTTTCCCAAACAAATTACTATTAAGTACTTCAATGTTTTGACAGTTTCAGTATAACTTCATTAGAGTTGTCTCCCATCTGCTATAATTGTATTATCATCTTTATGAGGCAGATTTACAATAACATCTATTAACTATAACATTTGTATATCAACAGTACTTTTTTTATGATTGAATATTTAAGAAATAATGACCATACATTGAACAAAGAAGTCTTTCCTATTTGAAAGTTCTTTTCCAGTTCAATAGTACAAAATTTCAGTCACATGGCATTGCTGAGTTTGTTTTTATTGTGCCAAATATGGCGATATACAATATTCACAGTAAAGTACAGAATGGAACTCTCTCATAAAAAAGTAAGTCTCAACCAGGGCTCATGCTGTCAGTCGCCATCAGCGCCAATGGTGAAACAATAGATTTTCAGTATAGATAACAAAGAATGTTAAGTACCAAAAAAAAAAAATAAAAATGAATGTTAAATATAAGTAAAAGCAGCATCAATAATTAAAACAATAAAAAAATATCATTTCTTTTAAAAAATTTAAATGAGAATTATTATTTCTTTTTTTATTTTATTCATTATCACTTAAGCTGAAATAGTTCTTTAAAAACATAAAAGTTGTCACTTAATCATTGAACTGTATTTCTATTGATCTGTATACGTTTATGGATTACTTATCCATTTGTTAAATGGAAGCTTGAATAATTCTTTATAAAATTTGACTGCTTTCAATTACTGAATTTATTTAAATTCATTTGATTAAATATTTTTTATCTTTCTTGTCCTTTTTCTTCTCAAATTTTAAACAATACTTACATTTTACTAATGAGTTTAAGAAAAGAAAATCCTTTCAAACAAATCTTTACAACTTTAAATAAAAGTACTATAAAAAAACACATGCTGATTATGCTGTCTGGTATGAATTATTACTCATTGTACCAAATGAGTAATAAAGTACTATAAAAAACACATGTTGATTATGCTGTCTGGTATGAATTATTACTCATTGCACCAAATGGATAGGGTATAAAGAATCAATCGGTAATTGTGTAGCCTGAAATCGTAACCAGTTTTCTGAAAATTTAGTTTTTTAATTTAATTTTTAATTTTAGAGCCAGAGTTAGCCCCACTTAACACTGTTAGTTGTTTTTGTAATTTTTGATTGAATATCGGTACAATATAAATTCCAATTTTTTTATTTAAACAGTTGTTAATTTTTGGTGAATTTCACACAGCTTCTACTGCTTTTAAAACTACCATTTCAACCTTCAGAAGAGGTTCTCAGCTGGATTAAAGATTTTTTAAAAAAAGAATATTGTATTCACACTGTCAAGAAATAAATCGATTCATTTAGAAGTTGATTTTGAACATAAAACTATATAACTTAAGTTATTGGTAATTTTAAACAGAGTTACAGACTGTTTTTGACAACATTGATTCTTTATGTGATTTGGTACAACTGTCATTTTTTAAATGCAAGCTGGATTTCATCATTGTCGTACAAACTTTTAGACTGGAAGGAACTTAGGTTTTCAGTCATGATGTGTGAGAAAGATGTTGCTTAGCTTATTTCTTTTGGTGTTTCAGTTCTACATTTTTCTTTAATAGTGAAATGTTATCTGTTCTTTACAAGCTTTAATGTGCTTTCACTTAATAAAACTTCATCCATTTCAACAAATTTTTATTAAGCCTATATAAATTTATTGGGGTTTAGTATTTTTAATTTTCATTTGATAAAACTTTGACATAAGATAAGTAACACCATAAAACATCTCACATATGCATCTGAAAAGGGTTTAATTTTGACATGTAGAGCCACAGATGACAGTAGCTTTAATATAAGTATCAATTGCTGATATTTGAAGAGGGCTAGGATGTCTATAGTAGAAGTTATTGTCCTGACAAGTTTCAGCTGATAGGTAGACAGACAAAAATCCATTATACCCCCAAACTTTGTTGTGTAGGTTATAATTACATTCTGGTGGGTTAGTTTTATAAATATTGTATAAGACAATAGAACATGTTACCTCTATTAGAATCTGCAGTCTAACAAAATTATCTTAAGATAAATCTGTTGAACTAAAAGACTGTGATTGCGGGTCACAGTTTTGATACCACACCAAGACACCTCCTTTCTTTCGTGTTACTAGTGGTGCTGTTGACCATACAAGTGATATCTCTAACAGACTGTGAGACTTCCATGAAACTAGAAAATCTGAGCTGATGTGATGTTCAAGGAGAACACATTTAGATAGGTTCCATTACTCCTTCCTATTACAATAATATGCAGTAGACATAATGGTTAATTAAGGCAACACTGGATCAATGATTTTTGATTGACAACATGAAAGTAAACAGTTTGTAGTATACGTAAGGATTTAAATTGCACTTTATGAACAGGTGTGTATGTGTACTACTTACGCATAAAAAATCATGATGATGTTTGTTACTCATAGTCATAAACTCACATCTGATAACATTTTCAATGCCACAAACAAAATGCACCATCAAGTCGACAATCTAGTGATATTGTGTGATATACATTGAGAAAAATAACAGAAAATTTTAGAATTGTACATGTTGTGTTTAAAATTCGATTCCATTGCGAAAGGTGTGAAAGAAACTTTGACATGAATGATGACTGTAGAATTCAGAAAGAAGTATATCGGGCTGTTTGTATTTACTTACCGATTCTGGTGAATTGCTTGGACTTGGCGATCGTTGTACGGTAACTAGAGACATGTTTTAGTGTAGCAATTGCTGCAATCACGTCATATTAAGAGCTCATTGTTAAATATACGGCAACAAGGAGCTAAAAACAACGGATGGTCAAACACAATTCCTTCCTCAAAGATTTCCGCAACATGCGCAATATAAACCGGAAGTTTAAAAGAAGCGTACAAATGACCAAGATTTCGTCTTAGCAACGAATGGCGGAATAGCAACATTTTCCTGATGTGAACGTCACAAATTGGATATAGTTCTATTTGTCTCGTGATTTCCGTCAAATCAGGATAAATTGAAAGTTAACTCAACAGTAAGTTTATTTAGAATAAATACATGAGACAAAGAATGGCTGTATGCGCCACCATATTAGACTAACAATGACCTGATACTTTGAACAAGGTGCTCGATTTCTTGAAGTATTATCAATATTATAATTTTAGTCTGCTAAATTGAAAATCGACGATAGAATGAAAGGTTTCAAGATAGATGTCGATCATTCGATGACTAGAAGACTAACGGTAGTTAGTATTTTGCGAATGTGGTCAGTTTTTGACAAATTGACCTGTATAAATATGTTGAACCATATTGCCCTTCACCATGTACTGATGGATACTGCGATAAAAAAAATGACAAGGAAAGAAAAAATTAATGAGGTTGATCACGCATCACATTTATGTCATATTATACATTCTCAAATTTTATTAAGGCAGATGCATATGATTACACTGGACTTTCTCACAGATTTGATACTTATTTTGCAGTCAGATAATCTTTCCCTACACAATTCAAGGTATAAACAAATCTCATTTCCTACACGGATTGAACAAAGCGGTAATGCCTTAATTCACTGTGCATTTGTTTTCTCATTCAGTTTGAAACATGGCGGACACTTTAGCTATTAAACCCAGTACCCCTGGCAGTCCAAAAAAGAGGGTAACCTTATCAGCAGGGAAGGACCATCAGAACAGAAATGGTAGTGCTACAGGGAGAAAAACACCAGGCACCCCAAATTCAGGAGATTACTCAAAACCTGTTGTCAGAAGTGCTGTCAGAAGATGGAAGCGACTTCATGAACAGAACATGATGGAAAAACTAGTGGTCATCAGGAATGAAAAAAAGCAAAATGTCAAATTGTCACGAGATGATGCTAAAAAGGTTGCTAGGAAGATTCCCATTGAAATTCTTGCTAAAGATTGGCTAAATGACAATGAGGCAACACTTGAAGTAAGGGCATATTTGGTTGATAAAGTGCTACCCACTCTCATTTTAGGTGTGGAGAAACTACTTAATGAGGCAGACAGTAGAGGATTAGCAGAAGAGGTAGATGTTTCTCCAAATTTTAATCCTATTAACTTTTTAGCGCAATACCTAATGAGGAACAATCCTAAATACTGTAATTTCTCTGAGGCATCACCTTATGTGAGGGGACTGAGGGAGGTGGCTGATGACCTCAAGAAACAGTTGTTCAACATAGAGGACAACAGGTTGGTAGAATGTGTTATCACCACGATATTTCCAAAATAAGTTGATTTTTCCGTGTTGTACCTGTGTCATTTAAATCTTTGTTGGAATCAATTTATGTTGCATGAAACTATAAAAGTTACAGAATTTTACTCAACTTGATGAAGGGTATAAAGAATAATTGAGTGATTTGATAGAAATTTTAGGCTTAATACCAAATGTGAATGAATGTACTATATGTTAGGTTTTGGTTTCCATAATCCCTGTTAATGAAGTTGAAATCAAAAATAATAATAATAATAATATATACTGAATTATTATCCATATAAAATTTCAGATTAGCGAGAATAAAAGCTGAAGCCAAGAGAAGACGAGAAGAACGAGACAGACTAGAACTACTGAAACAACAGGAGAGAGAGCGACGGGAAGCAGCTTTCATGGAACAATTCTCAAACTGGAATGTACAACCTGATGGCAGAGTGGAATTATCTATTGTAAGACTGAAACCAGAGCTAATTGTGTAGAAATTGTATATATTGATTTGATTAACAGTATTAATTTTTTTTTTTTTAGTTTTCCTTTTAAACTATTTTTTAATTTATTTTCTTCAAATATAGAAAAAAAAATTAGTGGTGTTAATTTCCAAAATGCAACAAATATAAGGTTATTTTCCCCAAGTCTGAAGAAAACATATTTTTCTATGACACTCTGGTTGAGCACAACTCTATTACTTACATATCACTGTCAATAACACAAAATTTATAAATGTATAAAGAAGTGGATCTTTTTTTGTCACGGAACAAATAAATCTTTTTATTAAGTGTGCATCTTCAATAATATTCTATGGTCAGTTAACTCTTAAAACAATGCAGACAACATTTTTTTTTAATCCTGTTTAGGTTCAAAATGCTCTACGGTCATTTGTTGAAATAGCAGAAACTTTCCCAGAGGAGTTACAAAATGCTGCCAAATTGAGCCATGCATTAGAGCCAACAGATGAGACTGGGAAGTCTTTAACTGTGAAAGAATTTGCTAAAGTAGGTGTATCTTTTGTCTAGATAGTTTCATGTCAAAGATGAAAACAATCACATTTATTTAGTGCCTTTTGAAGAACTTATGCATTGGTGTATATATTTATCACAGTTCTTTTTATAAGAAAGAGATTAGAAAAATGTCTGTGATGTTTAAAGTGTGTCATACTGTTTATGGATTTAGCTATTATATATTAAACCTTTGCAAATTTTTGAAAATGCACCATGAATACAGTTGTGAAACAGCCAGTAAATCACACAATTATCTTCTTACACAGTATATGGGAATGTTTGTGGAAGAGCTGAGTAAAGAGATTTTTGAAGAATTCATGGCACATCTGTCCAAGTGTGCAACATCTCACAGAGCAGCTGCTAGTCGTGAGGCAAGGCGTATACTCCTTACCAACCTCTTCATCACATGTGACCACAGCGGTGTAAGTATTTTAGTATTTCCCTTTTTTAGAATTGATTGACAAAGCTTAAGTATTTCCATGTTAAAGATATTCTGTACAACAATATTTTGGAACTAAAAATGCAAGACACACTAAGGTTGCACAACATTTTGTATGTGCAGTTGTGTGTATATCAAGAGTTTGTGTAAGATTTTACTTTCCACATTCAGAAAAGTCAATAGACAACTTTATAAAAATTTATTTAGCATACCCCAGCCTAGGTATGGGTGGTGTCATTATTTATAAAAGCAGCATTAGTATTGTCATCAATTTGTAAAATTGTTCTCCTTTTGTTGCAGATTGGCTTGCTGGACCGACACAGAATTTTGAGTTTGTTTGAATCTTACTGGGATTCTCTGAAGGAGGACATCAAGAGGAACTTGAGGAATCCAAGGAGATGTAATATTTTCTGTCTTTTTATTGAAAGCACATAAGTGACTTTCTGTACGATATACATTGTATCTTTGTTGAATATGAAATGTATTTTTACAAAGTAAAATTCAATAATCTTGCCCCTAAGCTTTACCTGAAATTATAATTTATAATGATTTCAACTGGAAAAAAATAAAGAGGAAAAAGAATGTTGAAAAGGTAAGTAATATTTTATGTCATTTACATGTATCTGTCATTCTGCTTTGCCGCTAAAAATTTGTAAAGGTGCTGATAAGCTGATGTTGTACGCATATTTGGCTGTAATGTCAGACTAAACTTGGCAACTCCCAACTCCTGAAGAAGGAAAGAATTACTTTTCAATTAATGTTGTGCCATTATAGGGCCAGTTGCAGAGGTGGACGAGGTAGTTGACTATTTTGAGGATGATGACATTGAGAAGGAAGAGGAGACACAGCCAGAAGAAGTCTCACAGACCCAGCAGGAAACAGAAGGTAATGCCAAACTATAAAAATGTTTCTGTTCAGTTTTATATATATTCTCAAATCCTATTGTTGATAAAATATTTTTTTTTGCATGTTGAAAATTTGAATTTTTATAGAAATTTGATGAAAATCTATAAATTTTTACCTCTCACATCAAATTATAAATAATGATGTAAGATATTTGAGTAATTTGTTAATAGTCAGTGAAAAGGACATGTAAGTAATTGTACTGCCTGGTCTATTGTGACAATGTCTCCACTCTAAATGTGGCACTGATATTTCTACACGTAATGTGACAGTATAGTATTTACAATGAATCATGAACAGCACATTTGACAATGGTGATGCTATACACAAATATTACCTGTTTTTGCATGCTTCAATGATTGGTTCTTTTTTTTGCATGAAATGTTTATATTGCAATGTTGAGTCTTGGGAGGCATTTATCAGTCAGATCTATACTTTTTGCACAAAAATTAATGTCAGAAATAGAAACATTTACATTATTGACATCCCCCCTAACCCCCCAACCCCCTCCCTCCTCTTTGCCAAAACAATGCAGTAATCAATTTTCCAGTTGGCCAAATATATATGTAAATTGAGGTGTATATATTTAAATTGACCTATATATCTATATATATTTAAATTGACCTATATATATGTAAATTGACCTGTATGTCTGACTGTACTTGCCTGACATAGAGACTTGTTTGCTTGTTGCACCTTACCTCTGTTGATTGTTGCTTTGTTACCAATATTGTGCTGATGTAGACAAGAAGGAGGTAGAACAACAGGAGAGCACTACTGATGGTGCTGCAACTAAGGCTGATGAAGATAAACCCAAGGAGGACGAGACTGCAGAAACTCAGGCTCCCCAGGAAACAGAGGGTGAGAAACCTGCTGAGGGGGAGGCTCAGCAGGAAGAAAGCAAGGTGGACGAGGTTAAACAGGAAGAAAGCAAGGTGGATGAGGTTAAACAGGAAGAAAGCAAGGTGGATGAGGTTAAACAGGAAGAAAGCAAAGTGGATGAGGTTAAACAGGAAGAACAAGCAGAGACATCACAAGAAAAGCAAGAAGAAAAAGCAGAGGAGACTGTTGAAAAATCTGAAGAAAAAACAGAGGAAAAACCTGTTGAGAAAGAAGAAGAAAAAGTAGAGGAAAAAACTGAACAGGAAGAGACAGAAGAACAGACAAAAGTGGAGACTGAGAACCAGGACACAGAAAAGAAGGAGGAAGTATCAGCAGAAAAGACAGAAGATGGAGCAGCTGAGAAAACAGAGGATGACACTGCTGATAAACCTGAGGAGGGAGCAACAGAAAAAACAGAGGAAGAGGCAGCTGAACAGAAAGAGGATGGTACAGCTGATGAAAAGGATGGAGAGGAAGCATCACCTAAAGAAGGTAGTGATCATGATAGGGGCAGTGGGAAGGTATCCTCATCTCATCCTAACATCAGGCCCTGGTCTAACATGTCGAAGGGAAAGTAGAACCTTCCCAAATGTCATTTATAACCTGTGAACATATACTCTTACCTGAATTTCTACCTTCCCGATATAATACAGCCTCCTTCAGCTATTTCTCTTAAAACTAATTACACCAGATTCACAAGTTTGTTTTGTAAGTATGATATCACAATATTGCTTGATGTCTGTTAACCTGATTATCACCTTTGTTGTTGTTTGGCTGTAAGGGCCTTTAATGTTCCCAGCATGTCATTTATTATCATGAAAGCCTGTTCATGTCAATGTTCTCATACAGCATCTTAACCAAGGTTTAAACATGTGTAATGTGTACACATTTCACATGCACTTTCCTGATCTTCCTCCAAAGATGGAAACAATTCAATGTAAAAATCTGTCTTTGCACGGTATCTATGATAAGTGTATCTCATGATGTTGCTTTATTCTAAACTGTCATCACTTCAAAATAATTCTTCAAGATAGACCTCCAGATCCTTCAATTCATGGAAATGTTGACATGGTCATGTTAAACATGAACATACTGTTACAAATGAACATACTGTTACACATGAACATACTGTTACACATGATCAGACTGTTACACATGATCAGACTGTTACACATGATCATACTGTTACACATGATCAGACTGTTACACATGATCAGACTGTTACACATGATCAGACTGTTACACATGAACAGACTGTTACACATGAACATAATGTTACACATGATCATACTGTTACACATGATCAGACTTTTACACATGAACATACTGTTACACATGATCATACTGTTACACATGGTTAGACTTTTACACAGGATCATACTGTTACACATGAACATACTGTTACACATGATCATACTGTTACACATGAACATACTGTTACACATGAACATACTGTTACACATGAACATACTGTTACACATGAACATACTGTTACACATGATCATACTGTTACACATGAACAGACTGTTACACATGAACAGACTGTTACACATGAACATACTGTTACACATTAACAGACTGTTACACATGAACATACTGTTACACATGAACATACTGTTACACAGGATCATACTGTTACACATGAACATACTGTTACACAGGATCATACTGTTACACATGAACAGACTGTTACACATGAACAGACTGTTACACATGATCAGACTGTTACACATGAACAGACTGTTACTCATGAACAGACTGTTACACAGGATCATACTGTTACACATGAACATACTGTTACACAGGATCATACTGTTACACATGAACATACTGTTACACATGAACATACTGTTACACATGAACAGACAGATCTGTTACACATGAACAGACTGTTACACATCATGAACATACTGTTACACTGTTACACAGGTTACACATGAACATACTGTTACACATGAACATACTGTTACACAGGATCATACTGTTACACATGAACATACTGTTACACATGAACATACTGTTACACATGAACATACTGTTACACAGGATCATAATGTTACACATGAACATACTGTTACACATGATCAGACTGTTACACAGGATCATAATGTTACAAGTTTACAGATATCATGTTTGTTTGATGTTTTTGTTTCTCTGTTATCACTCTACTGTGTTTTCATGCATCATACAATTATTTAATGAATTTACATCTTTTGTTTATGTATAGGAGCTACTCAAAGATTTTTTAATTCTGAAATGACGATGTAGATATGAAACAATTTGTAACATCAGAATAATCATTTCAAAAGAGTAATATCTATTTCAATTTATGTTTATTTCATTTCGGCAAAAGAATCTTCAGACCATTTATATATCTGTTATCAGAATACTAAAAGAAGAAAAGAAATGAATATGTAAATAACATTGTTTATTAATCCAAAAATGTGTGATTTTATTGATTATGATGAATGTGATTAAGTAAGCTGTAATTAATTTCATTTGACCTTTGACTTCTGATCCATAGAGGCCGTCCCCGAGGTGACGACAGAACCACCCAAGACAGCCCAGGCTGAAAACACTTCAGTCACATTTGCTCTGGGAACAACATTTAGTCGAGAAAAGACAGGTACAGTTCTACAGTTTACAGGATAAGATAAAGACATGATTTTGAATAAAATAAGAGTAGTTTATTGATGGGATGGTTGTTAATATACTTATCTTTGTTGGTAATAGGTAGTACTGTGGACTATAGGCTGTTCTCTGTCAGTAGGGCAAAGTCTAATGCTCCACCATTGGTTCAGTTTGGAAAATAAAAGAAAGAAATATTGAATTTCTCACAATTTATTGTAATATCTTTAGTGAGATCATAATCATCCTGAGGCATGAGATTGTGATAATCAGTTACCACTTGTATGATTTGAATTTTGTTAATTGAAAATATGTTCTGTATCAGGATGTAATTATGTATAGTAATACTTCAAAAACTCTCAATATCAAAATTTTATTTGAAAAGTTAACAGATTCCTTTTTTTCCAATTAAATAAGTATTTATCATGTTTTATTGATTTTTTTTGTTAGAATGGATTTGTGATTTTGTCCATGAGAATTAATATTAAAAGACAAAATTTCCTTTCGTACAAACCTTCTTTCTGTTTCTTCAATACATTGTATACATATGTTTCATAGATACAGATGTAACTATTAACTTCTTATTTCAGCAATGACCCACATCAGTAAGACTTCTGGTGCATCAGCTTTTGATGAGAACTCACTGAATGTGTCACAGTTTGTTCACTTGACTGAAACATTCCTGGGAGAAGACCCCGTGGAAAAGTCCACTTTTGAGACTCTGTCTAAGTTTATCAAGGGCGGGTATGAAGAAACAGAAGAGGAGAAAATGGAGAGGCTTATGAAGGTAGCTTTACAAAACTTTCTCCAAATCTTATCATAAATCATTCATTGTGAGCTGTAGAATGTCATGTTGTCACTTTATATAATTATACATGTGAATTATCTACATTATAAATTCTAATTGAACAACATTTAATTTCAGGCCCGTAAAGAAGCATTATCATCCCAGCGCAAGTACCAGATGGACAACTTGTTTGAGAAGTGGGACAATGATGGGGCTGGCTACCTGGATCTAGATGAAGTGGAAACGGTGATGCAGAAATACAAGGAAGGACAGGAGAACCAGTCCATAGAAAGGGGTAAGGGTAAACCAGGGGCAAAGAGAACCAGTCCACAGAAAGGGGTAAGGGTAAAAACAGGGGCTAGGAGAACCAGGCCATAGAAAGGGGTAAGGGTAAAAACAAGGGCATGGAGAACCAGTCTATAGAAAGGGGTAAGGGTTAAATGGGGGCTAGGAGAACCAGGGTGTAGAAAAGGAGTAAGATTAAGATAGAGTGAGAACTTTTAGGCCAAAGAAAACCTGGATACAGGGTATGGGTATTACCAGGAGTAATGAAGAATTTAAGCAAGAAAATTCAGATACTTCAAGGGACAATAAAAAACAAAGATATTGTTTCACAAGAGTAAATGTTAGTATGAACTCGTGTGTTCTGTGTTTATTTACAGCCAAAGTCAGCCTAAAGAAGCAAGCTAAGTACTCCCAGGACAATCGCCTGAGTCGGCGGGAATTCCGACAGTTTGTACTGTTGGTTGTGGATGAGCTTCCAGGCGCTGATAGCTTTGATTACTTTGTGGAATTCCTCATCAACAGTGTTGAGGTGAGGGCCAACACATGTTTCAAGATTACTACTGTCAGTAATAAACCTGGGAGTTACAAAGATCTGGTTACAGAATAGCTTGTAGACTTATGACCTCAACTGACACAAATTAATAATCTACCAACTGTCGTACAAATGTAGTGTAACTTAGTAATCTCTGCTGAGTGGAAATATTTATCTAAAGTGTCTCAACACAATAGGGAAGATAAAACATTGCAGCAGAACTGTCTAATCCAAGGCTGCTTCAGCTGAAGGTTAATAACAAGAATGTCCTCAGAGGAATTTTTCATTTCTGTGTCCTACACTCAAGATAGGTAATGATTCTTTCTGTCCTGCTTGTTTTAATCGACTAAAACATATGAACAACACAACAGGAAGTGTATGTATGGAAAGATGATTTTTTTATAGCCCAAAATAAAATAAAAAATCAAGCCATTTTGTTTGAGGCTTTACCTTTAATCCTACCTTGGGTAAGAAAGAATGATGATTTTCCTTAATGAAATGGTATATATATTTCTGATAAATATGGATGAAATTTTCTATCTTTCCCGACATTATTGTTATCAGACATTGAACTTCCATAACCAACCTTGAACTGTAGTCTAATTTTTAATTTCAAATGACTCGATGGAAAAATAAAGTTACTTTCATTACAAACCTTGAATATCTGTATAGAGAGATATCTAGTCCTGGATTGATCAGTTGTGCATAGGAGATAGTAGTGGTAAAGAAACTGAATTCTCATCATTTTGTGAATTGTTACAGAGGACATATGCTGAGCGTATTCGAGGTGAGGCGAGGAAGAAGTGGCTCCAACAGGTAGTGAATGCTGCAGAAACAGGCGGTGCCAGTATGGAGCCTGTTTATAAAGCCATCTTCAATGCTTTGTACAAGGTAAGTCAAAAAATCTGTAAAATAACTCTACATATCATTGAATAACAGTGCTGTAGATTTGACAATTATTTTGACATTGACATTAAAGGAAACGGACCAATCACAGGTTGTTATGCTCCTTTTGAAGATTACAAATGAGCATCACCCAAGCCTTCATAGTAAACCATTATTCAACTTTAAAATTTGTTTGATCAACATCAGAGGATCAAACTAGTTTTTTTTGTCTTGTACACAAAGTGTCATACAAGGAATAACATATTCCAGGGGTGCAGAGAGTGAAAGTGATTTTTACCCCCAGGAGCATCGAGATTGGGCTAATATGGAAGTAAATGGTTTCCTTGACTTGTATCCATACTGTATGCTTGTATCAAGACTGTACTCATGTTTTACTGTACTTTTTGTCCTCTAGGATGCAGAAGCCCATGGTGGTGGTAAGAGAATTAGTGCTAACATCTCCATGTTGGAGCGTAACATCCTTGACCCCACTCGTGGAGATGTGTGTCTACGATACGTGGCTGCTACAGTGGATGATTCCGACTTCCTTCTTGGCAAAATCTTATTTAGTGACATGAAAGGGATCAGGTATGTTTATACCTTGTCATGAACTTGAGATAGTAATGTTGTGGTATGTACATTTTAATGACATTCCAAATATGACTTCATTTTAATAATGACCTTCCACTTCATGGTCAATTATAATGGTCACATAGTTGAGTACAATATCATTCAATCTATTGACTTTGAATTATCAAAGATGTTTAAATGAAACTTCATATAGATTTTAAATGCATCATCTGCAGGCATGCATTGCTCTGAAATTAGGTTACTGTGACCTCTTACATAAGGTCATTAGGTGTCATTCCAAGTAAATAAATTTCTATCTCTTCATCTTATAAGTAATTTTTTGACATCATTATGAAAAGCAGTTTATCAAAATGAAATACAGAGTTCTCTTGGTAAAAGGTCGTGTAGTCAAAATTCAAGGTAATTGAAATCTATCTTTTCAACACATAAATTTCTATAATATATATATTACAATATAAGTAATCGTATTTAGATCAAACATAGTTACAGAACAAATTCTGTACCATCGTATAACAAGTAAATCACTTTAAAAGTCTCTTTGTTATTTCTTGACACAGTTTTACATCTGTCGAGAGTGGCAAACCAATCCATGTACCCAGAGTATATAACCATGGAAACATCCAGTTCTGGAATCCCTACAGAGTACCAGAGGTAATGTCTTGTAGAAATCATTTAGGAACCCCTATTGAGCACCACAAGTAATGTCTAGTAGAAATGATTTAGGATCCCCTACCAAGACTACAAGTAATGTCTAGTAGAAATGATTTAGGATCCTCTACCAAGACTAGAGGTAATGCCTTGTAGAAATCATTTAGGATCCCCTACCAAGACTAGAGGTAATGTCTTGTAGAAATCATTTAGGATCCCCTACCAAGACTAGAGGTAATGCCTTGCAGAAATCATTTAGGATCCCTTACCAAGTATCAGAGGTAATGTCTTGGTATAGAAGTAATCTATGTATCCCTTAAATGATCACCAGTGGTAATGTCTTGTAGAGATAATCTTGTTATCTATGGCATGTACCAGAGGTAATCTATCAGAGGTTGGAGAGAAATATTCTCCTGGAAATCTAAAATTATTTTTAATACTTACATATGAAGTATGTTACTATGTGTAGAACTTATTCTCAAGCTTTGTAAATTGTTATTGTTACTACCAGGACCGTGAAGGATCATTCATCGTTGTACCTCTCAAGGACAAGAGAAAGCGTGTGTTTGGACTGCTAGGAATTGACACACTAAACGACCGACACACCAAGACCATCTTCATCACTCACGAGATTCAGTTCTTCCAGGTACAGACACAAATGTCTGACTTATTGTAACCAAGATTATAAAGATTCAAACAGAGTTTTAGTTTCCTATCTCCTCAATAAATGTAATATAATATACTTAGAACCCACTATTGTACTCTGTTATTAAACCAACAAAGATAATATGTAGTTTAATTTGAACACCGTAGGACTTTTTTCTCATCCTCTCTAAAATTTCTGGATATACACATAATTTGTTTCTTTAAATCTAACATGAATTTCTCTTTGAATTGCTTCCTAACATCTTCACTTGAATTGTTTCCTTTTTCATCAGGGTGTAGCCAAAGCCTTTAGCATTGCGTACCACCATGTAGATATGAGTAAGAAATTACTGCGGATCACAGAGAGTGCGGTGTCCTGGATCCACCGACGTAGTCCACATGTCCACGAGATCACTACATACATGGTGGAACCGGAGGGCCAAGAGAAAGATTATGTACTCAGGAAAATGATGACAACCGATGTCAAGGGAAATGTTGTCAACATGACAAACCCACCACGACTTGAAAGGAAAGATAACTTGTTCAGGTATGGAGACTGTACAACAGAATGGTGTAATAAATTATCATTAAAGTCTTATATACAGTGAAATCAGGTGTCACCCCCAAAATCTTACCCAAATGTTTTATCACTTCAGCAGGAACAGAAAATAGATGACTTCGCTTGAATTTACCAGATACTGATGGTATCCATAATACTTACTAAAAGTGTGATTCATTATAGAGTGATGGGCATATTTTTGAAAGATTCAGGAATGAAAGTGGAGCAGATATAGATTGGAATTTTCAGTAGATATGGATGTATAGTATACAAATCTACCACTAGTGATCACAAATGTGTACTTTACAAAAATCACTAAATTCATGAAAACTACCATGACTTCAAATAATATTTTTATTATTCTTGAAAGAAAAATCAGTAATTTGAACTCGGTCACTACTAATGATGATGAGACTTTGATGATTGGTCAATATATACGATGCGATTCCTTCTGATGGACACAAAGTTAAAGTAAAATTGATGACAGTATGATGACTGTTCTGTGTTTTACTAGTCTGTTCTGTTCTGTGTTTTACTAGTCTGTTCTGTTCTGTGTTTTACTAGTCTGTTCTGTTCTGTGTTTTACTAGTCTGTAATGTATCTGTGTTTTACTAGTCTGTAATGTATCTGTGTTTTACTAGTCTGTAATGTATCTGTGTTTTACTAGTCTGTTCTGTTCTGTGTTTTACTAGTCTGTTCTGTTCTGTGTTTTACTAGTCTGTAATGTATCTGTGTTTTACTAGTCTGTAATGTATCTGTGTTTTACTAGTCTGTTCTGTTCTGTGTTTTACTAGTCTGTTCTGTTCTGTTCTGTGTTTTACTAGTCTGTAATGTATCTGTGTTTTACTAGTCTGTAATGTATCTGTGTTTTACTAGTCTGTAATGTATCTGTGTTTTACTAGTCTGTTCTGTTCTGTGTTTTACTAGTCTGTAATGTATCTGTGTTTTACTAGTCTGTAATGTATCTGTGTTTTACTAGTCTGTAATGTATCTGTGTTTTACTAGTCTGTTCTGTTCTGTGTTTTACTAGTCTGTTCTGTTCTGTGTTTTACTAGTCTGTAATGTATCTGTGTTTTACTAGTCTGTAATGTATCTGTGTTTTACTAGTCTGTAATGTATCTGTGTTTTACTAGTCTGTTCTGTTCTGTGTTTTACTAGTCTGTTCTGTTCTGTGTTTTACTAGTCTGTAATGTATCTGTGTTTTACTAGTCTGTAATGTATCTGTGTTTTACTAGTCTGTAATGTATCTGTGTTTTACTAGTCTGTTCTGTTCTGTGTTTTACTAGTCTGTTCTGTTCTGTGTTTTACTAGTCTGTAATGTATCTGAACTGTTAGTTGAACACATTTTCTGATTATTTCTGATTGAACTCAAATTCCAACTGGTCTCTCTATTTACATTAATTGACTGATTGTTTCTTCAATAGTGTTTATGTCTTAAAGTATTTTTATTGAGTTGTGTTTAATAAAGACTGTTGTTTACGGAATTACTTCTCAGTTATTCTTAATTTGTCTTTACAGTCTACATAGTATTAGTTAGGAATAAACCAACCTATATATCTGGTCCTGTTCAGTGGAATAACTAACATATGTTATTTCATTGTCCTGCATGAAGTCTAGCTTCTGACTTCTGAGTCAGAATTTGAATGGCTTCCCATCTTTTTAGGTGTTATAACGTTATATGGTAAATTTCTATTGCAGGGATTACCTGTTCAAGTGTGTAGATAACAGTGAAAGTGTATCAGCTGACGCCTACGGACAGCGCCATCTTGGTTTCCCCTTACGTAACGATGGTGGGAAGGCGGTGGCTGTGGTGGACATCAGTATTGGAGAGCTTAAACACCTTCCCACTCATGAAAACAAGGAGGTACAAAGGATGCTGAGGTTGTTACAACAGGCACACAAGGAAATCACACGGGAATCAGCAGGAGACGATAAGCTAATGGTGTTAGGTATAGTTCTATATTAAAGTTTTCTGAGACAGGAAAGCTAATCAGCTTTATGTTCCAAAAGGAAACATTTCCTGTAAATTAAAACCTTTCTTGCTCTCCTCCTTATGACTTGTTTAAAATGTATGACAATCATGAGTTTAGAATATTGATTAACTCCTATTTTTTGTATTCCTTCTTATAAACCTGTCATAATCAGATATATCAAATATTAAAAATAACATGTGTGAGCACTTTTTCTATGGTTGGGATGTTCATTAAATTGACTAAAGGAACTACAGTTGATATATTTATCAAGTTATCTTTCCGCATAAAAATTAAACACCTGTACAGTACACACTTGCAATTGCTTCCTTACAGAGGCAGAGAAGGATGATGATGGCAGGATGGACATCATGTTTGACCGACTCATGCTGATGGAACTCAGAGAAAACGTGTCCAAGATTGATGCCAAGGGTTTTGCTGAACTTCGAAGCTACAATGATCCTCCTAAAATCATCAATGACATTGTGCGAGCAGTGTGTGCAATATTCTACTATGAAAAAATTATTTCTGGCGAGTTGGATAATTGGGGAGAATTGAAGGGGGTAAGAAGCATTCTATTAAATTTCAATTATATTGTGAATTAATCCCAGACTATGTTACTGTGCAGACTGTAGTGTCAAGACATTGAAAGTTATCAAAAGCCAAACTTCATTACATAGAAAATGTTGAAAAACTAGAATCTGTTAAACATACAACTCAAGGAATTTAAAAAGGTCACATTTTGTCTGAAAAAACCAAACCAAGGATCAGAGATGTCAGGGACACATTTAATGAAGTTACAGAAAGACAGTGTATAGCTGGGAAATAGAAATACGTTATTAACACTGTGTAGATTTATGTTTTTTTCTTTTTGAAACTTCCTTTTATCTATTTCAGTTAATCAACAATGACCTTCTACAAAAGATCGAGCACTATGATCCAACCTCCACTGAAAACCAAAAACTTATCGCCCCAGACAAGATTGAGGTCTTCCTCAAAGGTAAATACATACATAACAATTTTAGTGTGTGTGGGCTAGACTGTCCTGTACTGTTAGTGTTGTGTTATGGGACAATTTACCCAAATTGTTCTGGATAGCATATAATGACAAGCTTCTTGTATGTTGTTCTGTGTGGTAGTCATTACTACTTCAAGGAGACCCTGCTTCAAAAATCACCCCAAATGTTTTGAAGAAAATAAAGCCAGCAAAATCAACTTTACCAATGAAATGTTGGAGATTCAACTCACAGAGGCTTTCCTGGCCAAAATAAAAAAAGATAGCAGTGAAAATTATTAATGGAGCTCAGGTTTTTTTGGGTTTTTTTTTTTTTTTTGTCTATGAAATTCATGCAACTGCTGTCAGCTACACAACACCAAGGGGAATTGTGGTTTGGGGTCTGTGAATATGGTGGAACTTTGCAATGCTATTCTCTATCTTATAAATAAATCTTGTAAAATTATGACCCTTTGATTTACCTACAGATGTTCCCCATGGAGAGGTGGCAAAGTTTGGTTCCATCCCAGCCCAGAACATGTACAACTGGGTATTTGTATGTATTTCCCTGATCGAGCATACACTGAAAATGAGGAAGAATTCCGACGAAGGTGCGATCATTCCGTCAGGACAGGAGGAATCAAAGGTGTCCGAGTCTGCACCTGAAGCTCCAGCCGAGACATGAGGACAAATCTGACCATGGACTCGCAAGGACAAACTTTAAGACAGTCACAGACATAAACAGACTTACTGATGCCCCAAAGACATTGTTGTGAAGGGAATGACTATACACATAAACTGGAAACATTTCTGTTCCTATTCTGTGATTACAGCTGAACAATTTTAAACAATATCTGTTCTGTTCTGTCAGGGACAATCAGAACAATGATAAATAGAACTTACTTTTCTGGTACTAGATATGTGGATGAGAATTGGTCTGTTTTTCTCTTCATTAATGTTCATGTAGTGACGTCAAGCTCTATTTATGTACAGATTTGTATATAGACCTGATAAATTTCTAATGATAGATGATGTTTACTGAGGTAAAAATATATATTCCTCTATTTACAATTTTTATCTGTGATGTTTTAACTAAAATTGATATAGCAGATATAAGTACTAGGGCTTGAAAATAGCTATGCATAAACTGTTTATTTTACAAAGTATAAAATTTGATTTACAAATGATAAATATTTACCTTCTTAAAACAAATGGCCAATATTTGAATTGTACATACACATAGTTGCCTTCAGAAGCCAAACATAATTCTTTGTTTACCATAATTTGCTTGTTGTCTTTTAGATTTCTATTCTCGGTCTCTTTAATGTATGTTTTTATGGTACATTCCCATTTCAGGTGTTCTTTCTTTTACATTACCATGAGATCTAGAGTTCAGTGGAGTAGGAGAGACACTTAAATGGGATTGAGATCAGTTTAAAAAGGTTCAATTTGAGGTATAAATAACATATTGTGATAGGAAAGTTTTACGGAAATAATATCATTACAAGGAGCTCTTGATAAGAGAAACAGTTATTATAAAATTGTGAGGATTGACTGACAAAATTGTGAGGATTAACTGACATGTAGCCAGTGCATGACCAAACATCTGTGATATCAACCACAACCGTCCAAAGTTATAGATTTAGTGATATCGTGCTTTTTCTTTTTCATTTAATGCCATTTTATCCACATTGTGCCTTTAATTGTATTTCAAGATTTGTGATGAAAAAAATTTTTTTTAACGGTTGAAAAGTTCAAATAATTGTTTTATTTTTCTTTATTCATTTATTCCTATTTTTGATACAGTAATGGCATTGATTGGTTTATGTGATTTTTTTTAAAAGATGAAATCTTACATAATTACATTTTACTAAATCAAATTAATAAAAAAATGTTTGAAATAAAAATTGACAACTGTACAAATCTGACTGCCAACTGTCTAGCATTAGTTTATAGACCTATATATAACATCCTTTAGTGATTTATTTAGTAAAGATGTCATCTAAAATGCTACGTATATCACTGACTTAAGACTGGAATTTGCAGTAAATTAAACTAAGTTATTTTTGTATGTATGCATTGTATGTACAAAAATTTTACCATGATGTATGTTGCTTCTGTCCCAACCATTTTTGTAAATATGTTTTTCGGGATTATTTTGTTGTACATATGTAAATATTACAGGCATAACATTCTTTTTTAATAGCCAAATTTAAACTATATAGAGTATTCATACTCAACTACAAGTATTAGAATTTTGAATGAGGCCAGCATATCTTGTGATAACACCGTCTACACTGGCTGACACATACAAGTTACCTGACTTTTCAAAGTTACCATGTTCTATTTTAATCATACAACTGTTTTGCCAAATCATTTTTAAGATGTCTTTTGGCAATAAATTGTTTTAATAAGAAACATGTTTTTATTTATTATTTTCAGCTGAACTGTTTTTATTCAAAATGTTTCCTGATGAAGTGTGTTGACATATGAAGCTCTGACAGAAGGTAACACTATTTCAATTCGAAAATACAAAATATCAGTCATATTAATAGTAGATTGGAATATCAAAGGCAGAAAGTTTCAACTGAATATCATATTGGTAATCTATATATTTGAGTTGTCAACCTTTGTATAGTGTTAGTGGAGATCAATCACCTGTAACCTGTAATTTGTACTAGTAGTCAATAAACCTTATGGGTGTACATGGGTAGGAGTTTGAAACATTCCACAAATAATGGCATTAAACATCATATTTGATGGAGGATCGTCCAAGAATGCCCGCTTTTTGACCGTAGCTGAATTTCCAGAAAAACTCAAACTGATTACTATGGGTCTTCTGTCTTATATAAGTATCCCTTCTTAATCATTGATGCCCTTAAAAATCATAAAATACTGTGGGGCGGATTGTCAACATGTATTTACTTTCTCAGGCACTTACTGCAGTGTTTGTCCAGTTGAGCCAATGCATGTGTCTGGGGGTGTGTTTGAGGGAATATATGCTATTTAGATGACAAAGTGTTACCTGAAAATAAACAAGAAAAACATATCCTGTGCAAACTATTGGGTTTTCTGCTAGATAAAGCTGAGATTAGTGCACATGTAAAACAAAGGGAAAACGAAAGTAGAAAACAGCAATTACATCATGTGTCATTATACAAAATGATTGTTTTGAAATCTGTGTTCAACTTGTATGTTCACATATTCAAATATTAAAATATATCATGTACAATACAATATTTATTTTTTAAAAAATGGGAAAGGAACAGACCTCCCATCTCGAGAACATGTCAACATTATTTGTTGTTGCTTGAAAGAATGGATTCATAGATTTCAGACTCAGTGGGCAACATATCGAGTACTGAATTGTCATTTTGTTTTTCGCGGGTATCCCACTTTGAGTAACTACTGACAACACGAGTGACGTCACACAGACTTTTCTTCTACAGTATTGTAAAGAGCAGACTTGTCCCTTCACATTGATATAAAATTTTGTACAAATTTCCTGTCCAGAGACTATTAATTGTATAATTTAATTGTGCGTTTCTCTTTTCTTTTTTTTTTCTTTTTTTTTTGTTTAGTTAATCTTTATGACTCATTACAGAGTCTACGACAGAGTCAGTGAACTCGTCTGCTGTACTTGTTTTCTGGTTGGTAATAAATTATAAGTACCATGGTATTGTACAAGGAATGAAATCCACACGAGCTGCCTTTTTTACACATGCAGATCTACTCAGTATACACGTGAAACTTGGTGGTGTTGGAAATACATCTCAAACATCACACAAGGTTTTACAGAATGGTTCTAGGAAACGACATAGACATCCAGAACTTGAAAAAATGAAAGAACGGAAACAACTGATAAATCAGCAATAAGACACTATAGTGTCGCTATTGTTATTTACTTCAGCTGTAATACTAAACAAGTTTTCAGGATATCTTGAAATTTGATTGTAATTTTGTTGCATTTTAGTGTTTAATGTCTTCATACTTAAAGTTTCATAAATATTTGAATAAATTCTGACCATACACATATTTTCTACACAGTGTAATCACAAGAATCTGCAAGCGCCCACTTTTAGTGTCTTCTTTCAACATGCAGTACACTCAGTTCTTGGGTTCCTATGTCCAATAAACAGAAGGCATCGGAAAAACCATCCACTTCTAAAACTTTAAAAAAAAAAAAAAAAAAACCTGGTTATTAACAGTGTGGCATGTACCTTTAACAGTAACCTGGTTGTTGTCACGATATGGCATCTTGTGCAGTCTATCTCAATTTTATCAAACTGTTCCACGATTACCTCAGCGTTTACTCCCGCACGAGTTATTTAATATTCCCCTCAAAAGATTTGTCACTGACGATCACAAGTCAAAATTAACAGCAGACAAGTCGCCTAATTTAGCCAACGACTATGACGATCTAAAGGGGAAAAAAGACGCGTCAAGCGTCTGCCACATGGTTTGAATACTTTGGTAAGTCGTTCGAAATGGAAATAAAGTTAAATATTGATAATTGTTGTCACAAAAGTCAGTGATAAGAAACCAAAAAAATACTGAAATTACCGAAAGGCTAAATATGTTGACGATATATATAATGGTAAATTTAAACGTGAGATATAATCCATTACATGCAAAACAATGAAACACTTTTATAGAGGATGGCTATCTACGGCCAAATTCGAAATTTTGAATACATTCTTCCGACAAATCAGTAAAATTTTGTTCAAAATGTACAATTCACAGAAACAATTAAAAGTTCCAAATCTAAGAGATTGCCACTGGCATAAGTATCCAATATTGAACCCTAAACAAACCAACCCTCCACTCACACCCCACACTAGAAAGATCAAAGAGGCAGCTGTGATTGGCTGTCGGTTTTATCTGGTACGCCAAATTTTATAATAAAAAACAAGAGTAAATGAAATTATTACTGTATATTTGAATAAAATATTTGTTTCTACTTTAGTCATAAACACGTTCATATAATTTAATTTATACATGATACCCCCTATTCCATATTTTATGTATAATCCATATTTTACGCGGTGACATTTGTACCCAACGGAACAGATGTTACGTTTTATTATAGTATCTGTTGCCACAGGGGCCTGTAACCATGCTTCTGTGGGGTGAGGGCTTATACATGTATTGTATACTAGTCATAGTATACCATAAAATCTCTTATCCCCCAGAAACACTGTTACGGGCACCTGTGGTTCTTGAATTGCCACAGTTTATTACCGCGTTAACATATCAGAATATGTCAATAACCTATATGAATGTTTGTTTACCTTTTCAACTGACCGCCTGATAGAGAGAGTAAACTAGCTGGAAGGACTATGGTGATGCTGGTGCTGTACGTAAACATTTGTACGCTGGACTAGACTATATTTCCTGTCCATCGAAAGGTAGATGTCTTTATTGGTTTTTGGAGGGTACATAATTGGCAATAAAATGGTCCATATGAACATAAACTCAGCTAGAAAATTAAGTGATCTCTCGACTTATCATTCCTGACACTTATATCATACAATATCGATGTTAATTACTGTTTTTACAGTTTATAAAGACATTTGTGAATGACACTTTTTAACATTAATTCTGAAATTAAGAATTCAGTATTTCTATAATTTCTGCCTATTTATGATATAATTCAAATTTTTGGTGATAAACTAACTGCATTATTAAATAGTGATAATACCGATAAATATGTTAATGATAGTAAGCATATTAATGATATTCATAATAAATATCAAATCACTTATTTATTTAAATCAAATGTGCATTTGAAAGATTGATATTTCAAAATGCATTAAATTGCGTATTTAATACTGATTTCTGCTCCAATAGTTGCAAAAGCATATTTTGTCTGATTCGATTTATCGCATCCTTATTCAGAATGTCTCAAAAGTAACCACAGTTTGATCTGCCAGAGTGACTTCCCTTCGTTTTATCCTGTCCGATAGTGTAGCGATCGCGATGATGCCGGTAACCACAAATACATATACACTACTTCACCAGAAAACAGAATCTAATGTCATCGAAACGTCACACTCAACTCTTTTTTCTGATTGTGCAATAAGAGCAGTCATTCTATTGACATCACAAAAAAATGTTCCGGATAAAAGTCCATATTTGTCTATTTAATCACGTGAAAGTGCACTTTCCAAGAAAACCTCAATTTTCAGTAAGGAACGATTTCAAAAGAACATCAAATATATGCATGTATTCAATTCAAATTAATTACGAAAACACGGCATATGTGTTACAGTAAACCCAGGGAACTTTAAGCACATGTTCAGGTCAATTCCGCTATATGTTGCCCTAATGCATCTTTCTTACTTTTAGTAAGAACTAATAGAAGGGAAGTAACTCTAATACAAAGCATCACGTGTATCTCAAGTAAGTATGGAACGAAAGTGAATTTTAAAACAATACGTGCACTTGTAATGTAAACGTTTAACTATAAACTTGAGTTCTATTTCTTTCATGCCATTGCAAAACAAACTATTAGTTTATATTAATCACTCTTGTTGGCACGGATGGAAGCATGATAGAGGGGTACGAGGAAACCAGTGTACCCGGACCACCTGGAGAAAATCCACATGGTCGAGCAGGTGGGGCGCGACGATTTACCCAAATACACCCAAATATACCCAAACACACCCAAATCTTTCTCGAATATACCCAAATAAAGCCATATCTTACCCAATTAGCAGGTGACCCCTACACTGTACCCTTTCTACTCTACATAAACCACGACTAAGGCAAAATAAAATAGAGGACAGATGGTCGGAACCATTCGGACTACCTTTTCACTTGAGCTCGGGAATCGAACCCCGAACATCGGTGATGGGCGAGTTCGTTACCACAATGCCACCCGATCACCGATGTAATTATTTCATGTTAGAATGTCGATTCGCCAAAACAGACGACAAATTGTGTTATAATAAGTATAGAAAGTCGTTTTAGAATGCCGAGGTCACCTGTGATTTTTTTTAGCTTTACCTAGAAGTGGTTTGTGGGCTATAAATATATTAGGAACTTCGTTGGTCTTGTAATGGGGATGACGCCCTTAACGTCACTCTACTATAAGTGAGATCATTACAGTGACGATAAAGACAACAATAGCGGCATTAAGCCACAAAGCGAAAAAAATAGGTTTAAGTAATCTTCGGGGTCTAAATCATTGCACCAGTTTGAAATCATACCCAGATCCAAGTAAATGACGACCGACGGGAATACTCCAGGGTTTTGCAAAGTCGTAATTGGACTTCCAAATAGAACTCTTGTACCTTTTAACATTTATCAAACATATCATCTAGGTTTAGATAATGATGTAGACCTGACTGGCGGAATGTTTATACTGTAAATTGCGAAGTCGATTTCTAGCTTCGAAAACTAAACTATGTTAGTTGACCATAGGCCCATAACTTTGTTGTAAATGAAGGATGGCAAGTGAAGACAAACTTAGGTATATTAAACTTAAAACAAAATACGTGTGTATTCTAGAGTGATTTAAAGTCGATATATTTAAAACAATTACTGACGTACGTTAAGACAAACCGATACACGTTACATTCTGAACTTTGGTTCGAGGCCCAACTCTTACTGGGAATTGGCTACGAAAGTAGACCACACATAACAATGTACTTTTTCCCAACACTATCTGCTACCCTAAACTCTTCCTTTCAACTACTGTGTTTACTACCACAAAGCATAAAGCGCTAAATCTGTCGGAAACACCTCCGATTTGCATGCGGGTCTGATATCCGAGGTGTCCCGAATGTTCATATTACAATCATGTTCTGAATGTATATATCATTTGTAAATATAGAATGTTGAATTTTAAAGTATATGTTAACTTTTATAATGCTCTGGAATATTTCACACAGAAAGAAATATAGATCATATCGATAAAACAGTTTATTTTTAGGAACAATTCATGTAACATCTAAATATCAAATTCATGTTAATGTGTAAGAGACGTTTGTATTAGGATAAATATACTTTGTCAATATAAACATGAGACATTTCTTCTTAAGATGACATAAAACGCCTCTAACACTACTGTTTCTGTCTATGTCTTTATGCTTAAAGGTCTGAACATAGCCAAGATTTGTGTCAAATTAGCATTCGGAGTGAATACATCAGGAATCTTATAAGTGAGCGTAGATAGCAAGGATGGCCAGTCCCCGGAAGGTCATCATTGATGTGGATACAGGAGTGGACGATGCACAGGCCCTAATTATGGCTTTCTCTAGACCAGACGTTCTGGATGTCTTGGGGGTCACGTGCGTCCAAGGAAACGTGGACATTACCAATGTGTGTAGGAATACACTGAGGGTACTGTCTGTGTGTGACAAACTTAATGTAAGTTATCCAGTTACCCGTATGTGACCAGCTAAATGTAAGCATTCCCATTAACTACTGTACCTACGACATGTAAAATGTAAGCGATCCAAATTAACTGTATGCGACAAACAAAATGAAAGCGATCCAAATTAACTGTATGTTACAAACAAAATGAAGGCGATCCAAGTAACTATATACGACTAGCTATAAAGGTAAGCAATCCAATAGACTTTATCCGACAAACCAGATGTAAGCAATCCTTTTTAACGTTCAAATAGGGGGTTTTCAGCAAAACAGAAATACTGGTATCATTATTATACTTGAGAAGATTCGGAGAGTCAAAAATGTAACAAATGTAACAAAACAGTACTGAAGTACAGCGATATGTATAGTTGTATATACTGTATTATACATGGTAATCTGTATGAGGAATGCAATCTCACGGTTATGTGTTTCAATGAATACAAATAATGTACAGTAATGAAATACAGAAATATGCAGGGATTGTGAAATTCCGGCATGTTACCATGTATATGGCGTCACCATCAAGGCACGAGATGAAAAGTAGACGAAGAAAATAATATCTTCAAGAATTATCAGGAAAATCTGCAATATTAGCGATCTTTCCGTAAAAAAAATGGTTCCTTTTAATTCGTGCCAGATTCAAGAAAATTAAGTATCGTTTTCAGCCCTCCGGGTACGGATGTGTAATTAATTAACTATCTTGATTTATCAGTCTAATGTGAAGTCAGAAAATCGTAATTAAAGGATCCTAAACAATTTTTTAGGTAGTGTTTGGGAAAGTAAATCTGATTTTTTATTACTAGTTAAATGATAGCATGACGGATCATTTATATATACTTTTGAAGCCCTACTAGCATTACTTGGTATAGTTGCAGAGAGTTAACAGTTTACAGCGTTCTCATATCTTCGTTTTAAAGTATAGTTGTCAGTCAGGATATATACTATATATAGTTCATTTTCAGACATTGTATACGTTTTGACACATACAACGATTGAAAACTATATCAGTATTAGCGAGCCTTTGAAAACGTCTGTTTCCTTTATCAGGCAAAGAGTTCAGAAGTTGGGTGATTTGACGAATGTGAAATGAGCTGTCACAACGCATTTCGTATCCTGATATCACTCTTCCTCGACCCTTCTTCGTTTCCAATTGTCCTTTGTCGAGTTGTTTCAGTCTACTATTGGGTTGTTAGTTATGTCTTTTTCTAATGTCCTCTTCGTGTTTCGTGTGTTTACTTTATTTTCCACTGTAAAAACATCTTTCTGGTGTTCAAATAGACTTATTACGACCAGGGTATCTAGGAAGGAAATATATCTATATGCCTTATCTTCTGGTGGAAATATAATCTGTCATCAGCCTGTTTCAGTGGACATGTATGATTTTCTTTCTCACCATCTCTTAGCTGCTTCCAAAATATCACCAAATAACATTGCCTTTTCAAAGATTGTACAACACTCTATTGGAGCAATTGTGATGTCTTTCTGCCCTAGAAGACCCACAAATAGTTACGTAACAACATGTAATGCATGACTACCCATACTGTGTCTTACATGCTTTGGTAAATTAAGAGCAGTTTTGCCTTAGTCACCACTGATTATCTGAATCGTCTCATCGGTCGATGTGTTATTGATAAGGGATTTTACGTCACGGAAAATGTTGCCCTCATCCAAGGTGATTGTCACATATGAAGCTTAATCGTGAGTTTTGTCACAAGTGTTCTGCTTTGAAACCCACTTTGACATCAAAATGCGGGACAAAACGAATGAAACATCAATTGTCCTACAGACTGCCTGCAGTATAGGAGTGCTATTGGGACGAAAATGCGTCAAGACAATTTTACAGCTGACTTTACAATTTCACCGGTTTTCCAAATAAAGAACACTGTCACCGAGACTTTGTATTCGTTAGATCATGACCAGGGAAACTTTTCTGGCATATTGCTTCATCAGAGGCCAGCTGGAGTGGACATCAACTGTAGTCGTAGACTGTAGTATCTGGCGTTTAACCTAGCTTTCGGTAATGACAATGGGGTGTTTGGCATGGTTCAGAGTATACACAGATATATAAACATTACGAAGTATATTGGGTTACGGAGGCTAACGCCTCTACATCTAGATTTTTATATCTATTTCGACCAATTTTTGTTTTCCTTAGTCGCCCCCTTGGTTTCAAAATTAGGCCCTTAACATCACTGACGAGTCATTAAAGGACGAAACAGTCGTGTCATGCTGTTTAATTCACTAATCTGTTCTTTAGAATCTAATTTCTATTTGTATATTGATATATTAATTACTAGGTACCAGTATATAAAGGCTGTGATAAGCCGCTTACTGGCGAGGGTCCTGATGCTACACATTATCATGGAAAAGACGGAATGGGAGATGTACCAAACCCCGAACAAGTCGACATGAATATCATCCAATCAGAACACGCCTCTCTTGCATTGTTAAGATTAGTTAATCAATACCCAGGTATGTGAAGTTTATCTCAGAAAATATTAATTTTGTTATACGTGGACGGATGCCATTTTGTCTTTTCACGTGTATAGCCTATATTATTGTAGGGCAAAGCTGCCGATAACACATTCGGACGAATGTTCAGAGTAGGCCAACAAGAAGAATGCACGTCACAGAAATGAATATTATATATTAAAATGATGCAATTGTAGCAGTGAACAATATGGACATCAATGATTAAAATCGAAATGCGCGAATTTTTTTTTTTTTTTAAGTTATATACACAATTATTATCTATGTGTGTGGGGAGGGGATACGAGACCGATAATCGCCCCGTAGGCGAGACCCTGGAACGGCCGGGACACCATGGCATCTCAAAAAATACCAACTGTATTTTGAATTATATTGAGAGAAGTTTTAGATTGGTACTTCTTATCAGCAATTTATGGTATATCATTTGATTAAATCTTTTAGGGGAGATAACCCTCGTAGCCTTGGCACCTCTAACCAATATTGCAGTGGCCTTGCGGATTGATCCAGCTTTCGGACACAAGCTGAAAGAAATGGTGATTATGGGAGGAAACGTCCAAGGTAAATGATTTAAAATATGGAGAAAATGAATTATTCACCTTTCTCGTGTTTAAATTGATATATCTAGTATATAGTGCCTGTCCATGGAAATTGTAATAAGATCGCGAGAACATCAGGTGGCTTTGTTTATAAAGTGAGATCGTTTGAAGTGCGTTTACTGTGGCTTAAAATGGTATGAAGATAAATGCACTGTAATTGATGTATCGTACTGGGTTAAAGGAAAAGGAAACACATCTCCGGCGGCAGAGTTCAATTTTCGGAGTGATCCAGAGGCAGCCCACGTGGTGTTAAAGGAGATAGGATGTCCCATTCTGATGGTGCCATGGGAGACTTGTGCAGACAATGGACAATCCTGGGTAAGTAATCGACAATAGGCAGTCATGGGGAAATGTCAAAAGACAATCGTATGTTTATTGATTCAACAGAAAATTGTCATTCCTGGTTTAGATAGATAGTAACAGTTATACGTCATTTATTGCCGACAGCGAGATCCTGAAGATGGAACACCTAATCTGACACTAGTTTATGTGGCATTGACCTGTATGTACATATGTTAGATGACGTATCATCACTGTCGACAATTGTTTGTTGAAGTTAGAGCACTCAAAGTGAATTAACAAGCCACAACACTTATGATATCATATAACATAAGTGTTTTTCGATTTTTCAGACCTGGACGGAGGCTTGGCTGAAAACAGACACAAGAAAGGGGCGATTTCAAAACGGAATCGTACAGTATTCTATTGGACGTTTGAGGGCTGCTAACAGGTCACATTACAGATCATGTGACTTACTAGCAATGGCGTATGTGATTGATAGATCGATTGCCTCTGAAACTGAGGATTTCTATGGGGAAGTAGAGATGGGAGGTACCCTTACACGTGGGCAGCTGGTCTGTGATTGGAGACAAGCATTGGATCGAAAAGTCAACATTAAGGCCGTCACAGCGGTTAACTTAGATAAGGCAAGGCTCCTTTATGATGAAATGCTTCAATGATCACAGTCTATATTTAATGATATGGTACAATAATTACAATCTTCTCCTGTATGATCAGATGTTTCAATAACTAGGATTTAGTCCTGTATGGAGGAATGCTGCAGTGACCACAATCAATATATAATGATATGCTTCAATGACCACAATCGATCTATAATTCGATGGTTGATGAAATGTGCCAGTGAACACAATCTTGCCTTGTATATAGTTATGTTTCAGGGATTACTTACTGATGGCAATTTATTGCGAAATAGTTTCAGTGAAAAAAAGGGACTAAGGTAGGAGCTTGTATGGCAAATTTAAAGTTTTTTTTTTAAAGTAGTATACGTAGTTCATGATTACATGAATTGTGTGATAAATGAAATTCTGGTGCAGGTTAATAGATAAAGAGGGTAACTTGCACCCCAGTTCCTTGTTGATAATCTACAAGTTGAATAGGAATAAAACCCAACGTTGCTTTATCGACCTTTGATCACTACTCTAATGAATTATGTTCGGAGTCACAACTTTCGTGACGTTGATTAATCAGATTACTTGATGATGCTCTACAACGTTAAGCACATTGTATGTTAATGTTGTATGCTGTTCTCTTTTCAAGAGAATAAAATATAACTGGATGGACTCTAGATATTTCTGTAAACAGGAACTGTGCTTACTGATTAACCAGATTTGTATTTTATCGAGAAAATTCTTTATTTATATTTTCTTATTTCTATGTTCCTGAACGTTTGAAATTTGTCCATGATTTGTATGTAAATTGAGATTGTGTCTATGTATAGATGTGAGTGTATAATTGACTGTGATTAATTGGATTAACTTCATTACACGAAGTAAAATTTGAGCTAAAATCCTTTTGTGAAAATGGCCGTCTGAACCTTACATTTGTAATTTTTCTAATCCCCACAGTTGTTGATTTATAATTTAAACTGTAGCTCATCAAAACGAATTATGGCAACAGTATAAGCCAAAAACATGCCGAAAGCACGAGGGAGATGTAAGGAAGACATTGCAATATGGTAAGCATACACCCTTAAGTGAAACGATTATTTTATATTCAATGCATGATTAGTGCAATGCAATAGGGATATTATGGGATGAATTTTTTATATAATCAGATGTTGTCTTTGAAAACAAAATTCAATATTGATTAAAAAGAACTATTGTTCTGATCAATGGATACCTATTAATCACATAAAACATTTAAACAGATGTATTTTAGTTAAGTACGCACAGTTAACCAGTGTGTGATAATTGTGCAGTTCGGCTATATCAGTCATTAAATATATGAGAATACAAAAATGTTTTTTGTTGCTGCTCCAACTTTATTGTGACAGGCATTTCCATACAAATTGAGATTTCTATCTATACCAAGAGGTAGATCCTTTAGCCAGCCTTTCTGTACAAAATAACTACTGCAACTATACTGAGACGAAGATTTATTAGCCAGCCTTTCTGTACAAAATAAGTACTGCAACTATACTGAGACGTAGATCCGTCAGCCAGCCTTTCTGTACAAAATAACTACTGCAACTATACTGAGACGTAGATCTGTCAGCCAGCCTTTCTGTACAAAATAAGTACATGCATATGTACAAATATGAAGTTATGTTCAGTGTTTTCTTTTCAAAATAGTATTACATATTAAAGAGTATTTTAATTTATTTACAAAAATAAAACTGTTTTAACTTCAACACCTAATCATAAATACGAAACAATGGGTATTGATTATTGTATACGTGTTAATGGATCACGACGATATTTTTCTGATGTGCATGACTTATAGAAGGGAAATTCCAAAATACGCTTGGTAAAATATGTCAAAGGGAAGCAAGAAAAATAATCTTTATGTTAAAATAATTCATACCATAATAAAGCTTGTTTATTCTACTACCTAGCTATATGGAGGCATAAGGTAAAAAAATATCAGTTAGTTTAATAATTTAACTTTAGTGCACCACCTTCGCGCTTCTCATACAGTATCTTATATAGTACCGTCACGCGGTTAACAGCGGACATAGCACAGTGTTATCGAGTCGCGGGTATAAGGTGAGGAGAAAAGTTGCCCATGTTTACGAAACTGAATTGTGTCATCATTATGTACCTTTCACTTCTTTTTCACACATCTGATATCTCCTTTTGATCAGTGTTCAGTAATTCTATCATGATCACCATTTATTAAGAAAGCTGTTACGTATAACATGTATAACTCACTAAAACTTGTTTGTAAATACGTTTTAATGTTCCAATTAGTGCTAAATAATACATTTCTCATGATACTAGAGTTAATTTCATCGTGTAAACCATCCCGTTTTTATTTTTAGTTATGCAGACTAACACAACTTTGTCTGAAATTACGCTATATATTCAATCATTACACTATTTAGGAACTTCACATCCTTGCGTCTTTGAACCTCTCGATGTTTTGTAGAACAACAGTATTTAACAACTTAATACTCGTTATCTTGGGATTGTCAGCACAAGCTACTGAAGCCACACACAAGCCATCCTAAAATCAACAATGGAAATTTTACCGTATTTGATGAATATTGGTACAACTAAGTACCTTGGGCGCATGTCCTTAAACCTTAGACAAATTAATATGTCCGCTCTGAGTCTAATCTTGTTTGAAAGAGAGTTAGTTAACTTATTACGTTATCAACACCGTAAATGCGAGGAAGAAATAAAAGGCATTGTCTTTCCTTGATATTATTCTAGTAAACAAAGACGACACAATCATTAGCAGCCTACAGAAAAACGACAACCGGACCAATACCACATTCATTCTTCTCTCCTCTAACACCACAATTTGTACGACTTTTACCCAGTAAATTGGTTCCGTGGCGCCATGAAAACATGGATAGCCCGTTTCAGACATTCAGAGGGCAAACTAAATGACTTTGTGACAGGAGACAAATTACTGAAAGAAGAACCATGAAAATGAAGGAAAAAGCCCTCTATCCATACATCAATGGTTTATCGGAGATCAGGCTACAACGAAACTATGACCAAAAAACCCCAGGAAACCTCACCTGACGCTTCTGGAGTTCCTAGTGCTTCCCAGATATACAGCACAAAGAGAAGCACTGCTGTCTGCATATAAAAATAGTACGACGTAAGAACGCAACGTATATTAGAAAGTCGAATCCCAGAACACAAGAGAAACCAGAGAAGGCAGTAAGTTTACGAGATCGGAAAGAACCAAACCAAGACTCAGATTAATAAATAGGCATTTACACATAATTCATTTCATAAGCAAAAGCATATTTAAAAATGAAAAAGACGTTTAGTTTGCAATTTTGACGACTGAGTTCGTGACATCTTAATTTCTTAAAAGTAATATTGCAATAAAACTATTAGTAACTTTGATTAGGAAATAAACGCAATGAATTTCCGATTTATTGTCATAAACTCATCGTCAAAACTTCTCCAGTATTAGCATTTATGTGAAAAACTATAAGATACATAAAAAGTATTTTCATTTCTTTTAATTATCTCCAAGCATCTGGTTTCCTGTCGATTTCATTCTCTGTGTGAATTTTGATCTTAGAATTACGTCCGACACGAGAAATGTGACCTTGACCCGTACTTGTAGTAGGTGTCACTTTGTCATTATTCCATTTATTCCTAAAAGAAATGTGACCTTGACCCGTACTTGTGGTAGGTGTCACTTTGTCATTATTCCATTTATTCCTAAAAGTTGAGAAATTATTTGCTGTTCGAATTCCATACTGAAAATTTCTATTTTCTTTCCTATCCCAGGAATATTCCACAGCTTTACTCCTTTTTCTTTTCGTCTTCTTTTTCTTCAGTGTCTTCTTTTTTTTTAATTTGATGTTGAAACATGACGAAGCGTAGTAATGCGAGTCATTAATTGTTCTGAGTAAGTTTCCGTCTCTTACGCTTGGCTTGTCATACTTGTTGTTATCACGTGACCAGAATATCCCCATATTATTAAATGTATATCGCACATATGATATGAATGTTCAATATCTAAGACACGAATTATGAACAAAGTCGTAATCAACACATCGACATTCAATAGAATATATTCGAGTCATTGGCAT